CAACACTGAGTCAATCAAAATAATTGACAAGTGGTAGGTACTGGCTTCCCAAGAAAATTGGTTTCTTTCTTTCTTTTTTTTTTTTGTTAAGAAAAGAATAATGTGTTGTTTACATTTTCCTTAGTGTCTTACATTCCTTTCAGATGGTATTTTATTGTGGGAAATAAAGTGGGTTCCATAGTTGGAGCATGATCAAAAATCAACTTAGCATCAAATAAAGTAGAAAAGTACATCATTAAAACTTTATCTCTTTCCCCTAAGAATGTTGATGCACTCAGCAATATTATGCTCAGTCTGTTTGGCTAGGTCCATTGATTGCAAGTAATACCATCTCCTCTTGCAAGTGGGGAAGATGATCATAAACAAGTGGCTTCACTCAAGGGCCTACAGTCATCATCAAAATTAGAACAGAAGCCATCTCCCAAATTCAAGACAACTGTCAGCTGTATTCTGGAATTGCTGTCTGAGAGCAAATTTTTGCCATTGCTATCTTGGAGCCTGCCCTGTCCTGAGCTGGACCCGAGTCTTGATTCTGATTATCAATGTCACAGAAGCATTTGAAAGAAAAAAGACCTTTGATTCACTCAAACTCCTTGCTTTAATGCTAGCAAGGTGAAAGTTCTCGTCTCAGTCACTCATGGTTGGTAGAGTGAGAACTTAAGTCCAGGTCTCCAGATGCTCATATGAAAAGTCTTCCCACCAAGCTACTCAAAAATATCAATGTCTGTGCTGAAGCCTGACGAGCTCCCCCTACTCACTCCAGCCAGTGGGGGTGAGTGAAATAAAGTCTTTGAATTTACTCTGAGAGAAAATACAGTAGCTCAATGGTGATCGAAGCTTTCTAGGCCAGAGAGTTATAAAGGCTCAGTCATGAATACATTTATTTATCCTGGTTGTTCCAGAAATTTGGCAATCTAAGCAGTGCTTAATAAATATTAAAATGACTTGATTAACCTATCCCTTTCAACTCTACCTGAACATGTTTATCTGTTCTTTTTTAAAAAGATTTATTTATTTATACATACAGAACTGGGGTATAGGCCAGAGGTGTGGGGAGTGGTTGAGAGGATTCACCAGAGACAGAGTGGGGACAGAACAGGCAGATCTACTGAAAGACACTACTGAGGGGAGCAGTGGGCAGGTCAGGAGAGGTCTGCCACGCCATGTGGGTCATCCCCCTGACTGGGGATCAAACTCATGCTGCAGTGGCTGCTGATAGCTTCATAGTGCTGCGCTTTAACCCATTGCGCCACCAGGGAGGGCCTTATGTTTATCTGTTTTGTTTTGTGGGGGTCTGGGGAAGCAATTCTCTTTATGTGCATTTTGAGCATGAGCAGGGACAGATCTCTGAAAAGAAGGGGCCTCAGGGCCCTACTCTACAACCTCCAAGTCCTGGTCCTACTCTGAGACATTAGGGCTAGTGGCCCACCCCCATCAATAGCCCCCCTCCCAAACTCTAGACGTTACTCTCACCCTCCAGAAACCACATCCCTTACGAGAGATTTCCCTGAGACACTGCACCCTCTGCATTCACAGCAGCCTCCTGCTCCTGAATCTGCAGCCAAACTCCATGACTTCTTACTCTTTAGCCTCTGACTTCTATCACTATGCTTTGGCAGAGTGGGGTGGATGCCAGGGGGAGCAACGAGCCATGGGGACAGAATGGAGGGCCTGAAATACTCACCCCCAGTTTCAGGAACCTGGAACATCTATACAGGAGGGGACCAAGATGAGAATGTGGGTCAGAAATGACCCTCCCTGGTGGTGCAGTGGGTTAAAGCACAGCACTATGAAGCTGTCCCAAGCTACTGCAACACAAGTTGGATCCTGAGCCAGGGGTCCTACGTGGCACAGCAGACCTCTCCTGTCTCAACCACTGCTCCCCTCAGCAGTATATTTCAGTCAGTCAGCCTGTTCAGCTCCCTATTCTGTCTCTAGTGAATCCTCTCACCATCCCTGCACCTCTGGCCTGAACCCCAGCTCTGTATGCATAAATAAATCTTAAAAAAGAAAAAAAGAAACCCCTACAGTGAGGTCTTCTGGGTTTTCTTTCTCCACGTTGAACTCGTCACACCGCGGTCCTACTGAAAGCCTATGGCAGGTTCCACATTGCTGTTCCAACTTCTGGACCTTCACTTTGCTCATGCACAGCAGAAGTCTCAGATCTTGACTCACCCCTTTCCCTTTCATTCTCAGGGTCCCCTGACAGATGTGTCACCAGCATCTCTCCAACCTCCCGCTGATCTGGCGGTCCCCCACCTTCTGACATTACAACCAGAGGCACCTGTCACCTCAGTTCCACTGCCTTGTCGATGAGTTAGATCCAGCTTTTCTAAGTCCTTCTGGTTCGCTCTCTGAAACATTTATCAGCTCTGCCACTGTTATTATTATTTTGCCGGTTTCAGATCTTGCATCAGGCTTAACTGAGTGCCATTGCTTGGCCAGTTTCCTCCCTAAACTATTTCTATTCTCCCATCCATCGGACTTGGAGAATCTCCCTCAAATGTCACTTAATCTCATTATTAAACCTTTAAGCTACACTTGCTCTTTCTAATTTGCTTCCTTTCAAATTAATGCTCTTACTAATAGGATGGGAGTGTTGGAAACATCAGATCCTTCAGACATGATTTTACATATAACACACTTAAGATTCACAGAGATTAAGATACTTCCCCGTTACCTTAGGATCTCAGGCACCTCGGTCTTTCCAAATTGCTCTTTTCCAATTTATAATTCAAATCCTACCTTCTTCTGTCATGTCTTTACATTCTTTCTGTCTACAGCATGGTCTACTTAAGCTTGTCATAGTTTATTCTACCTTTTAAAATACTACTTCTATTAAGGTAACAGAGGTTTACAACACTATATGCTTCAGGAACAGATTCCCACCTCCTCTATTGTATATGACTCCACACCCACCACCAAGGTACCCTAGTCCTTCACCAGTCTCCTGAGACCCCGTCCACTTTGCTACCCACCTGCGGTGTCCACTTTAGTCAGATTTCTAGGGTTTGTTTTTGGTCTGGTTTTGTCTGATTCATTCTGTTTCTATATTCCACATATATGAAACCATCCGGCACTTCTCCTTCTGACATGTTTTTTAGCATAATCCCCTCCAGTTCCATTCATATTTTCACAGGTGGCAAAGTTCATTGCTTTTTAAAGCTGAGTAGTATTCCTGTGTGTGTACATCCATCTTGGATGACTCATCTGCCCTTGGACACTCGGGGGCTTCCATCACTTGGCTATTGTAGGTAGTGCTGCATTGAACAGAGGGGAGCTTTTTGCATTCTTCAGACAGATACCCAGAACTGGACTTGCTGGACCATATGGTATATGTATTTTTAATATTTTGAGACGCCTCCTTACAACACACTATTTTAAAAATAAATGCTCATTTCATCTTCTAAAAGCTCTCTCATGATAAGCCTGCTTGACAACACAAATTATTCCAGGAATTTGGTTTTGGCTAACTAACTATCATAGATCAGAACTAGGGGTCTCCCACAGATTCAGGCTGTAGGTCCACAAGGACCATTGTGCCACTGAAGCCTCCTCAGTCCTACCTTTACATGGAGACAACTGGCTGCAGACTGCGAGTAAAACACTGCGAAGATAAACAGGTTTATCTACAGGTAGACATACATATAACAAACCCATATATACACACATGCATATGTAGAGGTGCATATAGTGAATTAGGCATGCTTTATGTTTTAATGTAAAAGCATAAAAATTCTTAGACTACATAAGAAATTCACTATTTATTTTTTTACTTGGTAAGCTCATGTCACCCAGAGAACAATGTACGTAGCACTTTCCTACTTTATTCTCCTATGCACTGAAGTCCTTTCTCCTTTTTTCTCTATCACTCCCTCCAAATATCCAACTTTTAACTTTATCACTGATAGAAATGTAGCTCATCACCCTTGATTACTTTCATTTCTCCCTCAGTCTCCTTCTTGGAAAATATCTGCTTAATTTCTGGAGTTTAATCAATGACATGATAAAATGACAAGACTAGATATGGCAGAATTCAGCTGCAGGCAGCTGAAAAGAGGAAGGGGCTTTTCAGCCAGGTGGGGAGGATTTAGGAGCACCGTGCAACAAAGGCCTTCGCAGATGGGAGATGCACAGGTCTTAAATGAAGAGTCCAATTTGGGGAGAGTATCTATACCACGAGATACCACGAGACCCTCAGCTTCTATTAGAAAAGTCGCAGATTTGCCACATCACTTATTTTGTGCATGTTGAAGGAACAGCAAAAGGGAAGGAAAGCAGTAAGTAGATCTTGGTAAAGACTCAAGAAGGGAGAATAAAAGGTGACTCATTTCCCAAACAGCCTGAGGTTTGGGGGAGAACGTCCACTTACACTTGTTTAGGGGGGTCTGGATCATTGTCATTTTACCTGCAGCCTCTTTCCACTGACAGCTGTGGCTGCTATTTTAATTTTGAAAGTCAGCTGTTCTCTTGCCAGTCTTGACACAACATTTTAGGCATGTTCTGAAGCATGACTCATTAAACTCTCCAAAGTCCAAAGCACTTCAGTGTCCTATTCAAGTAGAACTCTGCTTCCTGATCTATGGGATATTCTCAGACCAAGATGTAAGTTTAAGACCACAAGCAATTTGAGAAGATTGGAATCCCAGCCAAGACATTTGGCAAAAAGCACTGCAGACCACATGAGATGTCCAAGGGACAGAGGGAAGTAGATTAAAAACATAACTGCCAACATTTTATATAATCTAAAAGGGCTTATTGATGAGGCTGCAATGTTACTCCCAGTGGCACAGTGACTAAGGTGTCTTCAGTGTCTCCTTGGTTACAGGGCTGAGGGGGGACAAAAAAAGAAGAAAAGGAGTAAGGCACTCCAATCTGAAGAAGAAATAATTACCTTACCTTTAAGATTAGAGTGCTAGGGGCGATGATTTGATTCAAGGAAAATCTTTTTTATTATCCATCTACTCATTAATTACTATTAAAAGGTATTTTTTGCTGACTCAAACATTTGCACTAAATAATTGTGATTTTATTATTTTTTTCACAAAATACAAAGCTTTGCACCACATTCTAATAGTGTTGTAACACAGGAAAACCCCAGTGTTTTCATTGGAGGAGGGGTGATTTACATATATTGATTTTATACACATTCTTAAAATTAATATTAAATGAAATTATCATGACAAAGTATACCAACCTTGTTTAACATGCATATTATTGCTTGGTACTTGCATATACTTTGAAATGGCACACATACAAAGTATACAAACATTTCAAAAATTTAAGGGAAATACTTAGAGATAGTTGTTAATCCTTCCAAATAAAGCACAACCTGAAACCAAAATAAATAATACTAAATTGCTAATAAAATCTAAGTAACACTGATTTATAAATTACTCATACAGTTTATAAATAAAAACCTTCAGCTTTATGGAAATAAATTAGATGTGTTCCCAAAATGTCTAATATATTTTGAAAGACTTTCAAAAATCTTGACAAATATTAATGCTGTATGTTCTCGGGGGTAAATGTATATCTATAGCTATAGTATTTACTGCAGTTTTCAAGTAAATTTTTCAAATTAAATCCATGTCTAAAAGTCATGATTATTACAAATTCTTACTAGTAACTGCTAAAAAAAACTCATAACTCATTCTAGTTACAAGTTAGTAAGAGTATTATCTATGCAAAAACTCCTTAACTAAAAAATAGACACAATCATATTAGAAGCAAACTAGGCAAGAAAATATATAGCATATTTTATTTACAGTTACATTTTTAGAGTGCATTAACGAATAAGTAGCAAACAGTTTAATTATGCACACTTAACTACAAAGAACTACATAAAGATACAACAACAAAAAATACAGATGAATAATGAGTTTTCAGCCAGAGGTATATTTACTTATCTTTGAGATTTAGAAATATTCCTCATTGCTGTTGGTCAAACATATAGGGCCTGAAATCAAAGGTTTGATTTAATTGCTCAGGGGGGATCAGTGTAAACGTCTTCAATGCAAACAAACCACCTTCAGCAGCGGCTTTCAGTTCTCTGCTACCCAAAGGATCTTCCAATACAGGTGCTATTTACTCTAAGAGCCAGGAGAGACCGTTTGAGAAGTCACCTAAACAGGGACAGGACTCAAGTCCTTAGGTGTTTACTTTGGAAAAGACCCTGAGTGATCCATTCCCTAGTAAGTTTGTAAAAGAAACATGCTCATAACCGAATCTGTTCAATTAAAGAGCAAGATTCAATAGTGCTGCCACAAACCGGTATCCCTTCTTAGAACATATTTCTAACACAGTGCTAGCCAGGGTCTCCCCCCCCTCCCCCCCCATTGGGTTTAGGGGAGAACATTTAGATAACTTATATGGCTTCCATGAATCCTCAGCTGAAATAAATGCCAAGCATTTATTTCTAAACCAGTTTAAGAGATTATAGATGCTTCTCAAGCAAACCATAACGTTAGTTTTGCCTTAGGTTGTAAGCAAGTCTTCTTAATGCTAACCGGCTTTGGCTTTACAGCTTTTAACAGATTATGGTTCGTGTGAGAGCTGCTTAAACTTATTATGTTGCTTTTCCAATGATCTACTTTTAAACTTGGCACAATAAGACTGGAAGCTTACAGGAAAGGAGAGGCCTCAAAAGTTGACAGAGGAAAGGTTGGTATGAGAGAGCAAGGGCTAGGGAAACTTCAGGGTATTAGGCCCAAGAGATGGGAAAGCGGAAGGATTCAGAGAAAACTTCAGGGAGAACCGTCAAGGATTTGAAGGGAAAAGCAGCTGTGGCATCGCCTGCCTCCAGCTCCAGGTCCTGCTGGCTCTCACTATCACACGTGTTTCGGGTCAGAACTCACTCTCAGTAGCTTTAGCGTGTCTCAGCCAGCCGCTTAAGGTTAAGGCTGGAGGGTGAACTTGAGCCCAAAGCCTTGGGACACAGGAAGGGTCTGGGTCTCACTGTTGTGCTGGTTTGTCCCTGTCGATAGATACTGCCAACCTCTGATAAGTTTTGCTTCTTATGAAACCAAAACACGTAAGTCTTCTAAGAAGCATCATGCATAGTTCTCAACAGTTACACGGACTTTTCAATTTCACCCAATACACTAAACCACTTAAAGCCTATTCAAATGAATATTCATATACCTGGAGTTAAGAGTAACCTGATGGGGGTTTTCAAATATTACTGCAATTAGAAGTAAATAAATGGATTTAAATTAAAAAGAAAAGTAACCTAGAAACTGAACTTTGTTCAAATATTTATTTTAAAAGTATCTCTTGGACCATGTTTTTCTCTCAAGTGTGAAAGAGAAGAAACATGAATATCACAACACACTTTTCCCTACATATCTCCATGAAAAGAATGTTCTCTCAGTGTGAAACTAATGGTGGAACCGGCGGTAAATCTGGCTCCTACACCAGTGCGAAGCCCCATCTGGTGTCAGGTACACCAAGGAGAAAGTGTACAATGTTAAAATCGACACTTTAGCAAAAACTTGATTTCAAAGAGATTACTGAAAATTTAGAAAATGATTTGATTCAAATGCCTATACCCTAGGCGGTTTCTAAAACTAGCTCTTTACAGCAGTACAGGGTCATCCGTCATGTATCAGCCCCCCTTCGGCATGGTAAACATGTGGTTCTTTCTTTTAACATAGGGCCAGTATATCCAACTAGAATAAAAACTTAATTTCTACTTTCTGTAAGTCTCCTTCATAATTTAAGCAGTAATTGGTGTTCTTGCACACACGTCACTCCATTTGAGTTTTAAATGAATAAAAACAGGACTCACTAAGACTCCTTAAAAAGATCTTAGACACAAGAATGCAAACTCTTATAAACTCAAGGTCATCATCTTTTTAAGTTCCAAAAAAAAGTATCTAATGCAGAATCTATGATCTTGCATGCTATTTAATTTTCATTCATTTTCAAAATTTTGTAAGAATTACTATTTTCTATTACATGTTCAAAATGCATCTTTATGATTACAGGTTGTCACTAATCTTTTTCTACAAAAATATAATTGCTTAAAAATTTGTACCAATTTGCTTTTATTTTCTATAAAGACGTTAACAGTTGTTAAATATTAGAATGCCTAATAGAATTAAATGAATCCATGTAGTCAAAATACTTAATATGTAAAATATCTAGCAAAAAGTTTATCATTTAACAAATGAAAAATTCATTGTTTAATCAATGACATGTTGTCTTCGACTACTTGTAGTTTAGGTAGGTGGGTACAAAGAGCGAAGTATAGCTCCTGGACAGGTCTGACTTAAACAGGCCTAGCAGTTTGTGGGCTTTTTGCACTTCATATGTGTTGTATAAGGACAGATGAAGAATCTACGTTTAAATATTGTATCTGGAGGTTGGCTGGTTTCATGCAGTCAGCACTAAATAAGAACTGTTAACCAAGTATAAACCACAAACATTAGTTTAAAACATTGGTGTTTTAAATACACTTATTTAGTGAGTAGCTACATGAAAGAAAAATACTGTCCATAAAACAAAAATAAAATTCTACGCGTGACATAGCAAATATAAAAAAAGAAACTGTTATGCAGATACTCAATAAATAGTATCATAGTTTTATGTTGTCTTTATTTTGATGTGGGTTTAAAATCTGTGTTCAGAAACTATAGAAATACCCAAAGAGTCAAAAATATTTCAAATTTTGTCTCAAGGAATGGCTTTCCAAAATATTTTTCTAATATAAATGTTTCCTTTTAAAAATCGTTTTCTGGCAAAAAAGAGAAAAGAATGAGATAAAACCACATACTTCCCGGCCCCCACTAAACAACCAATATATATTAAAGTGCCTCTGATGCGGAAAGCACTAAATTTAATAACAAATTATTGATGTAATATTAGTAGCTTTAAAAACAGATATCCATCTTTTACATCACGTTGTCTTTCAAACATAAATGTACCAATCAATCATCTTATCATTTAGTTACTGACCTTTTTGAAGATGTAAAATGTATTAGGTTCCCTCCGCATTGGGCTACCAAGTCAAACAAATGTAAGTCTTGATAAATCCAGCCTCTCTTCATCAGCACAACACAAAGTGTGAGTCAAATATTCTCTTTCAAACTGAGAAACTTAATGGATTTGATCTTTTGATTTGGCTTGATTAAATTCAAGTATTCACCCTTGGTTAAATTCAACATTTTTTCTTAGGTAAGAACAATCATTAAAGTCAGATATCTGAGAAAAATAAATAAAGGCAACAATAGCTAACTATATAACATATAGGCATTTAAGATTGCAAGAACCGAATCAAAAGCAAACACATCTATTCACACAAACAAAAACAAAAAAACCAGTCTTGAGTCATTTATTGTCATATAAGACAATACTGATAATCAGAATATTTGGACAAAATGATAAAATTTTTCTTTAAGAAAAATAGACATTCAAAGCACTCAAAATGCTCATGAAATAGGGTGCAAATTGTGAATCAAACAGGAATACTGATTTTTTTGTGGTTTTGTTTCAAGAATAGACCTACCTTTGGAGCATGATAAACACATATTGCATGAAGTTTTGGTAGTGATGATGCTAGGTTCTGAACTTTAAGATGATTTTGCAAATAGAAATGATATATTTTTCATAGAAAAAGTACAAGAGAAGCAGATGGGGAAAGCAATGTTAAAACAGGTTTTTTTTTTTTTAATGCATTCCTCCACTTAGCCTAAATAGTCAACTATAACATGCATTTTTTAGAGGATCTCTTAGGAAGGTCTATAAGATCTGCCTTAAACCTTACTATAAAATAAAAAGCTATCTTTTCATAAAATGCTAAAAATCAAAATAAGAAAATAACATATGAAAAACCTAAAAGTACAGGAATTATTTTCCATGGCCCAAGTAGCAAAATTTCCTAAAGTAAGTAAAATACTGTATCATTAACAGATAGCATATCTGAAATGAAAAATACATCACTTCTAATAGCCTAAAAAAGAATTTGAACAATTTAGAAAATAAACCCTACACAGGCATTGACAGTCATAGTAAGAAATGAGTATGAAACAACAAAATGTTGACAGCTATTTCTAGATTTAAAAGCATCTTCCATTCTTTTAGCAAAATTGGTGACATAAAAGTTAAGTGTACCAAATTAGCATGATCATCTTGTCACAGAGAAAAATACCAATGCAGATTAACAGATTCCTGAAAAGAGTCACCACTATGTGTATATTTTTTATTTAAACCTTTAAGAGTTTACCCATGCTCATAATGCAGAAGGAAATCAGAAATTTGGGGATAAAAACTAACTTTACTTTCTCTTTTCTAAAGGTTAAAAAAAGACACTGAAGTACTGAGTAACAAGTATAATTAATAAAGAAGCACAAGAACATGCCAAGAATTCATCATATCAGCAGATACAATGCAGATAGTAATGAAGTATGTGAATCACAGCCCCACTGTTAGTCAAGCTTTCCATTCTGAAGACGATTTTTGGCATTCTCTTGTCTGATGAGAGAGATGACTTTGATGCACCCCTTTGAAATTTTGATCATCCACATGACATTCATCACATCCAAAACAAAACAAGTGGTGATCCAGGAACACTGGATTAGAAATCCAAGCCTCATGTAGGGTTCTGTTCCAAACACTTTATAGAGAAGGAGATAGGTCGGCGGCATGGCGGCAATCCTCACCATGAAGAACACCACGGTCATGAGAATCCCATTGATGACATTAGCTTTGCAAAATTTAGGATACCCTAGAACTTCATAGAACCACCTGGTGAAAAAAATCAAAGAAATATCACATCCAGCCCACATTTTTGCAGCTTAGCCATTTTAATTTTAGGTTTTAGTCTTTAAAATTCAGTGACCATCCCCCTAAAATTTTTATATGGCCAGGCAAAGGGCCTTGAATAGCCAAGCTATATTAAAATAGATCAAAGCTGATGGGCTTACACCACCCAATTTCAAGAGTTACTATAAAGCTACAGTAATCATGATAGCATGCTATTTTTGAAAGAACAAATCAATTAGTGGAACAAAACAGGGAGCCCAGAAATAGACCTACACACTTATATCGACTTATTTTTGTTTTTTGGTGCAAAGGTAATTCAATGGAAAAGGACAGTCTCCTCAACACTCAAAATGGACCATCGGCTTAAATTAAAATGCAAAACTAGAAATTTCTAGAAACTTCTAAAAGAAGACAGGAAAAACATGTAAGCTTTTGTGTTCTGTGACAGAATTTTAGATACTACAACAGGAATATGACCCATGGAAGAAAATAATACTAAGTTGGGCTTCACTAAAATTAAAAACTTTCTCTGTGAAAGGCACTGTTAAGAGAATTAAAAATACATCCATACACTGGGAGAAAATGTTTACAGAATACACATATAATTAAGTGTATGCAAAATATTTAAAGAACTTACAAGAAACTATCCAATTAAAACAGAGAAAAAGCTCATAACTCCTCATCAGAGAAGATATGCAGAAGGAAAATAACATAGAAAGATATTCAACATCATTTGTCAGAAAAATGTGAATTAAAACAATACTGCTATATATCTACTAGAATGCCTAAAATTTAAAAAATCTGACAATATCAATTGCTGAGTAGGATATGAAACAATACTAACTCTTTCATTTGGAATGGGAATGCAAAATGGTAAAGTTACTTTGAAAAACAATATGTCCATTACAAAACTAAATATATTCATAGCATATTGTCCATCAATTATACTCCTAGGTATTTTTCCAACTCATTTGAAATTTATTTAATATGTTCATGCAAAACCTGCACACCAATGTGTGAACCAGCTTTATTCATAATCACCATAAACTTGAGGTAACCAAAATGCCATTCAAAAAGTGAATGAATAAGAAAATGATAGCATATGTATATAATGGAATACTACTCAGCAACAAAAAGGAATGCTCAATTTGTATTGAGAACATGGATGAATTTTAACTATACTTTGTTAAATAAAAGAAGTCCATGAAAACAATACATACTATATGATTCTATATATAAAAAAAATAAAACACTCTGGAAAAAACAAAACTATAAAGACAGCAAACAGACTGGTTGCCAAAGCTTCCAGAAGAAAGAGTGTGTAGAATAGGGGATAGCTTAAGGTGGTGAAACAATTCTGTTTGATACTGTATAAGTGGATATAAGATATTATGTATTTGTCAAAACCCACAGAACAACATTAAGAGTATATGCAATTTTTAAAAAATCAATGAGAAGGTTGTAGGATGCTAGAATGGAATTCAGGCTGTAATAAGATGTTATATCAGCATTACAAATGCATGGCATAAACTCACTGAGGAAAGTGAGGTAAAAACAGTGCTGATCCAAATTAACTTTGAAAGACAAAAAAACTTTATGTTCTAGTTGCTGAAGCTGTGTCTCCTAGGGGAATGGGTTAACAATTCTGAAACCATTATAAATGTATATTGATATTCAACAAATAAACTTGTTTGATGAGGAATATGAAAGTGGGGATCAGGTTTCTCAGTCTTAACACAGATTATTGTATTTCCAAGTTGCCAGCTGAGATGGCACAGAAACAAAGAGACCCCATAGCAATGAGCACCCCTGGGGTACAGATCTTGGTTTCTAATACCATTCTTCAATAAAAGGAGACAGGGCCCCTTGGGAAATGGTCAACTCTAGGTCAGGGACAAAGATTATACAGTATGACCCTAGATTATTGCCAGCTTTATTTCTTCCCTCAAAGCAAGAAATTTTTCAAAAACAAAGTGAGTAAGGTCTATCAAAGAAACACACAAGTCATCTAAAAGAGCTCCCCATGGTGAGAACTATAATAATTTAGAGTTGAATTATAGCTGAAAGTATAAAGCACACACCCATGAATCCACAGCAATATAAATGAATGAATGAGCAAGAAGAGACAACTTCCCCGTGAAAAGTAATTGTAAATAATTTATGTAACTATCAGACCTACAAAGCATAACTTTTGTCTCCTCAAGACAAGGTTGCATAGTGACTTCTTCCCAAAGAGTTGAGTATGGAAGACAGGTGAGTGGAAAAATTGAGAAATGTGATCAAATCGACCTCAGCCAGGTGACAAGGAAAATATCATTAGTGGTAAGTCATGTTTACAGCACACAGGCCTGCCATAATGTGATGAGAATGGTACTCTGTAGTCTTCCTCCTCAAACCCCATGCACAATTCAAATCTCATCATGAGGAAAACATCAGACAAACACAAACTGAGAAATAGTCTACAAAACACCAGATCAAAAATCCTCAAAATGGACAAGGTTATCAAAAATAATGAAAGCCTGAGAAACTGTCACAACCAAGAGGAATTTAGGGAGAAATGACAGCAAAATGTGATGTATTCTGGTGTCAATAGAAAAATGTCCTTCAGTAAAAACTAAGGAAATTTGAATAGAATTATCATTAAGACAGGTACAAAAGAAAAGCCAGCCAACTGTGTGTGGTTGGTACCCTCTGCTAGTCCCACACAGAAATCTGTCTTTGGCCATTTAGGTTTTTCTCCTCCCCCTTCTAAAGGAATCTGTTTCCTGGCTGTTGACTGTGCAGTGTGGGCCCCTCTACAATCAGTGTAAAAACAGGATATTACCTAGTTTAGTTCATGTTTGGAAAGAGGAGAAAGAGCTACTTATAGGTTGAGAAAAAATGACATAAGCAAAGAATCTGTCTCCATGTGGTGGTTGGATGAGTTTTAGGATCAAGAGTCAGGCAGTGCTGGAGTGAACCTCAGGAAGCTGTGGGTCCAGGAGATGCTGTGAGTTCAAGAGGAATGAAGAGAATTTTAAGAAGCGTTGCTGTGCATAACAAACTGCATCTTTGTTGAAGTCCTTGGAATTTTGCCAGTGAGGAAGGATTTAGATGCAGTACTGTTTCTGGGATGCTACTCAGAGACTGGCCCTGAGCTGACCCCAGCTATAGCTTGGTTGCAAACATAATTCTTTATATTAAATAAATGACTGTATTTAATAAATATTAATTCTGAGTTTTAGGAGTTTAGGAACCTAGCTTGAGAAACACTGTCCTCCATCCCCATATTATTTTGGTTCTGCTACAACTTCTGAAGTATTTCTTTATCTACTCTTCCTTCTGTTATTCCCTCACTCTACATAATATTCAAATTTATTTTTTAAATACCATTTTTTTCTCAGAGCTTCAGATGCAAGCTCTAGCTGCCCATTCAGAAATTTCTCTCTCTGCCTCTTCTAACACTTCCATTCAGATGCTGTGTGTGTGTGCTCTTGCCCAGTGTCTCTAAAGCAGTCATCGCCTTCATTCTGAGTCTTCCTGACTCCCTGTCTCCTTTCAAGGGGCCATTCCTCCAGGTACAGGACAAGTGTGACCTTAAATTGTCCCTTTACTCTATCTCTAATTTCTTACTTTTTGCCAGCTTTATTTCTTCCCTCAAAATTTCTATTTTATCATCTCTCTATCCCTACAGTATAATTTGGGCTTCCACTTATTTTCTGGACTAACGAAACTATGCCTTTCATTCACACAACTAAGAGCTGAATGTTAACCCACGAACCCAACCTTTTACCTCAAGCCTTACAATCTTTACTACAACTACCCAAATAGAATCATTCCAGGTGACTTTTGCAACATCATTCTTCATTGTTGGATCTTCTCACCGTATGCTCAGTCACATTCAACAAGCTCCCTGGCATCTACACCCCTGTGCATGTCCATCTTCCTTGTAAGACATACTCTCTGGCCCTACAGATCTACGAATTTTCTTCCACACAGTGTATTAATGCCACTTTCCAAAAACTTATGTGCAGGCCTTTCACTCAAATGGAGGGCCTCTGATCCCCCTCCATCTATAAAAAAATATCTAAACATTTAAAGGCATACCCCAACTTACCTTTTCTGAGAAAGTCTGCATGACAAGTACTAGTCAATAATGGTCTCAAAATGCAGCCAGTGGACGCCTGAGACTTTGGGGGTGTCTATTTTTGCAATAATACCAGAATATCACCTGTCTTTTTCATTGTACTGATTTGAAACTGATGGTGCAAAGTATTGGTGGATAAACTTGATCTCTGAGTACAAAACATGGCAGTGGAACAAAATGATATTAGTAAATATGTTATCCTTACTGCCATGTATCTACAGCCTTTTATGTACTTGATTCAAAGTGTAAGAGAGTACAGTGAATTTGGATATAACAGTGGACAAAATGTTCACTCATAAGTTTTCAGAGCCTGCATTTAACTAACCTTTAAGAAACTAACTCTTGGTGTATGTTGGTATAATATTAAAGAAGAATACCCACAATTATTTGAAAGATTAGAACAATGCTCTTCCCTTTTCCAACTACATTATTAATTCTGAGAGGTGAGATTTTTTTCATATTCTTAACCAAAACAGCATTTCACAACAGACTGAAAGCAGAATTGGACCTAAGCATCCAGCTAGATCTTCTCAAGATACATTTTGAAGAGTCACACAAATGTACAATGACACTGTCCCCAATAAAATTATATTCATTTTCATAGTGCAGTTATTTTTCACACACATAAAAACCCAAAATCTCATTATGAGATCTCCATGTTGGCCTAGGGGTTAAGTTAGCACCATCACTGCTATGGCCTGAGTGCCATCTCAGCCAGAGAGCTGACCCACAGGGCACAGCAGACCTCTCCTGACCTGCCTGCTCCTTCCCTCAGCAGTATATTTCAGTAGATCTGTCTGTTCTGCTCCCCATTCTGTTTCTGGTAACTCTCTCACCCGCAGCACTTCTAGCCTAC